CTGAGCTTTGGACATTGCTGTTGTTCTAGCTTCTCAGTCTTGCTTTTTTGTGTCTTGTCCTACTTTATATATGGGCCATGGTCTGTTCTGGACTCGAGAAGTTGGTGACCTATTCCCTTTCTGGAACTTCTTCTGTGCTGGCTGTGGCAGTAGAGTATGGTCTGCCTCCTGTTGGTTGTATTCCTTAAGCATTTTGTTAGATCACAGCTCTTGAGTTTTGAGCACCTCTTTTTATGATTTATTTTCACTTGAAGTCTCAAAATCAAGTCTCATGGTGTTTAAAATACCTCTGAGTGCTTAGTGAGAACACTGCAGTAGGGTCATTACACTTCAGACAAATCTCTCCCTCCCTATGTGGCAACTTGCTGAGTTATTTACAAATCACTTGACTTTACAATTTCTAAAGCTTTTGTCTCGTTATGTCCCGCTTTTCAAATCTTTGTGCATTAGGTAGGAAAAGAGAAAGGACATGCATCACACACCTCCTGTCTGTGTCCAATTGCCTCAAGGCAGCAGTCAGCAAGTTAATATGCAACAGTTATAGCAGTATTTTCTGACTTCAGCAGTATCTGAGGACCGATCCCAGGATAATGATCCCATTGTACTGTGTAGCAGAGAAATACATTGATAGTGTGAGTCATGCCAGGAAGAGTTTATCAACAAGGGACAGGCAGCAGTGAGCAGGGTAAGATGGATTTGCTGGCCAAAAATAACAGCACACGGAAAAAGGCCTTGCCAGCAGCTACTCACAAACATCCTGCATGTGAGAGGTGAAGACATGCACTGGGATGCTCCACATCTGAGCCAGAATATCAGATCACTGTTCTCATCCAGTCTTACCAAATATCTGCTTTTCCTACATCCTGATATATGCTTTGGAACAGGTAATCACTGTCAAAGCCACATCCCCAAAGCAACAGAACCCTTGGCAGAGATCTCTGGGATGTGTGGCAGGAGCCAGAAAAACCCTGTCATGGAAGGAAGTTTGCTGTCTGCCTGAAACCTCAAGGTGATCCATGTTTGATCATTTGGAATCCATGTTTGATCATTTGGATTCAAAGCCTGTCCTAATCATAATCTTTGATTTCCCTCATGCTTACTGATACAGTTTAAAAACATAAACTGGTTGTTGTTCTTAAAAATATACACTATTTTACAGGTTAAAAACAAGAAGTGGTGCTTGCCTCTGTCCTCACAAGCAACATTTTACCTATGGAAATTGCCATGGCATGGGTGAAGTGAAAGGAATCCTCACCTAGCTGCAAGGACAGGTAACACCCAACCACACAGGCCTCCAGTATCCTGGCATGTTTTACAAATGGCAAGTCCATCCGTTTTCTCCTGTGAGTGAATATAGCTTTATTTAGAGTTGCCAAACTATGGAAGTATTTCAGGTTCCCTTATGAAAATTTTACCTAGACCTGTCTGAGGTCACTGTGTGGTTCAGTGAAGCCAATTTCCTACAACTGCAAAGCAGCAGAAAAGTAATTATGATGTTTTGTTTGATTGATAAAAAGAGATGGAAATATAATCATTAAGAAGTGATAGCAGATGATATCTTTATCTGTAACACTTTTTCTGTGTTTGGGTATCTTATACTGTGGGGAAAAGGCAGAGATTGAAAATGCATTAAATATAGTAACTAAGGATGGTGAATGGCATAGGAAAAAAAAATGTATGGAAGTAATGTGTTTCAACATAAACCAAATCCTTCTTTAATTGATCTCTGCAGTTTATTAAATTTATGACAAATCATGAGTAGTCCCCAGCTGTGAACTTTTAGAGTTAATCTTGTAAAAAGAATGATCACCCTTCTAACTCACAGGCATCTGTGACTGTGCAAATCTCATTGGATTGCTACCAGCTGGAAAATCAGAGCGTGGAGCAGAACTCTGACCTTTGTGCTGCAAAATCCGAGGAAACAATCAACTGAAGGAGATAAAGGAGAATCCTCCCCATTAAGGAGGAAGTGGTACAGAAATCAAATTCACTTGTGCAAAGATTCATTTTGCCAGCCTGCCCACCAAGGCAAAGAGCTCCACCTACTCAGCCAGCCGCAGGGAGGATCTGGCAACTCCGACTTGGAGCAGTAAATTAATCAGAGCACTGCTAGGAGCTAGCATAGCAGGGGTTGGAGGGTGCTTTTGCTGTGGAACCCTGTTTGAGGAAGAGCTGTAGGAGCAGACCAGGCAGCTCTTTCATTCTAGCCAGGGAAACAACAAAGACATCCAGGGACATTAGCGCCAAATAAACATAGAACAGTCAAAGGAGTTATTTCCTCACATAAAATGAAAATCACCAATGTATTGAGGACAAGCACAAGTCATATGTTCCTCTTAAGTCCTACTTAATCCCTGCTTTGAGGATTTAAGGGACATTCAAGTGATTCATAAACCCCTGTGTGTTTTTTCTGCACAAGAATGATTTTTACCTACCACAGAGACAGCTGAGCCATGGGAAATTCTGCAGTGGGTCTCATCAATGGAATAATGCTGTTGTGTTCAAGAAGGTGTGGCTGAGGCTCTGTCTCACTTGCAGCTGTAGCTTTAATATCTGACATCCTGATCGTCCAAACTTATGGTTTGTGGCGGGCCTTGATTCCCCACAGGATTCTGCAAGTAATGTATGTGTCTTACTGGCATCATTACATATCTGGCAAGGAAAGTAAGTCAAGGAGGAGCTTTGCATCAAGCACAAGCCAGGAATAAAGGCAGGAGGTCTCCTCTGACTGACAGTTTATTGATCTGAGCCAGCACAACCAACTTCCTGTTTTCTAAAAAAAAAAAAAAAAAAAAAAGGCAATAGAAAATATCTGCTTGTTTTCAGAGGATACGTCCTGCTGGAAAATGGGCTGAAATCAGCAAGATGGTGCCTCAATGCTGCTGCTTTTGAAGGTAACAACCAAACTGTGAAAGATGGTTTCAGATACCTTTTGCACAGTGTGTGTGAATTTATTTTTGCTTGGGTTTTTGGTTTATGCACTCTTGTGGTGATCTGTTCTTTTTCCCTTTGCATATTTTTACTGTGGGTTCCTTGGCAGTGGCTCCTGCATCTCTCACAGCTCTGTTCTGCAGCATGCAGGGGAAAGGAGATTATTCAGATCTATAGTTCTGTCAAATGACACTCCTTAAGATATTGTGTAAGCTTAAAAAGGTGAATTTATGCTCTGGCTTTTATACCTCTTTGTGCCTGAGGCACTTTAATGTATAAAAATAAAAGCAAATAAACATGTACACCATGTACACCCACCACTTGCTGGGGCCATGAGCTCCGAGAGTTATTTTGTAGGGGGATTGATAGCTTCATATCTCCTTTCCTAAAAGGAAAAAGACTATTTAGAGAGACTATTTGCAAGGGCCTGGAGTGACAGGATGGCTTCACATTGACGCAGAGTAGGGTTAGACTGGATATGAGGAAAAAATTCTGTGAGGGTGCTGAGGCCCTGGCACAGGGTGCCCAGAGCAGCTGTGGCTGCCCCATCCCCAGAAGTGTTCCAGGCCAGGTTGGATGGGGCTCTGAGCCACCTGGGATAGTGGAAGGTGTCTCTGCCCATGACAGGGGTTGGAACTGGATGATGTTTAAGGTCTCTTCCAAGCCCAGTCATTCTATAAGTCCATGAAATTCAAACATGTTGCAAGAAGCAGAGAAAAACTGGTATTGAAAAGATACTGTAAACAAACTCTGGTTAAAGGGTAATCTTTTTTTTTTTTATACACAAAATAAACCCTAAAACCTATATAAAGTTGTAGATGGATTCTAGTCCCAGAACCCTGGTTCTCACTTGTGAGCCTCAGCAGCAGCAGCATTATCTTGGTCCTCACACTTTTCTTCCCCTTCCCATCTTTCATCTTGCCATTTCTTTGTAGACCGTAGTCTCTGAGGAGCAAGAGTTTGCATGTCCATATGATATGTAATTCAGGTGGCCCTGATACTGTGCCAGTAGAAAAATATAAAAATCTCCAGTTTGACACTCAGCAACACAGCTGGGAATTTGGAGAGGGAGCAACAGTACTGTTTGTTCCTGATGGAGCATGACCTCTGGCTCTGTCCAGCTTTGATCTCTAAAGAAAAGAAAGCTTTCCCGGGTCCTTTCCTAGCGCTTCTCCTGCTGTGCTGCTCTTTTTTGCTCCTAGACAGCTCCCCAGCTGCAGCAGGAACTCCCAGCTCTCTGTCCCTGCTGGGGGGAAATGGTGCTCCCTGCCAGCAGAGATGTCCTGGATGCAATTATAAACCAGAGGGATCTTCTGTGACATGAGGAATATTGCATTTACTCTGGATATTTAGCAAGAACTGGTAATCCAAAACATTCTGACTCCACTGCAGCCCTCCTTTCCTTCAAAACCCCTCACAAGCTCTCTCCTATAACTCCATCTTCCATGCTGGAGCACCTTTGGCTTTGCAGCAGATGGCAATGCATCACTGCCCGCTGCCAAGATGAGCCAGTTCATTTTTCCATCATCTGCATCTTACTATGAAGCAGCAGAAAAAGAGGGGGGAAAAAAACCCTTGGCAGCTGATCTGTGGCACGTTATCTCCTGTTGTGGGGCTCTCAGCAATATGAGCACATTGATTCAAATACCTCAGGAATAAGCAAACGGAGAAGTCCAGAGACTGCTGGCCCTTACTGACATGGTAGACCTGAAGACAATCTACAGAGCCAGCTAAAATTCCAACCTCAGATTCCTAAAACAGCTCAGATTTTCCTGGTGCTTTCCCCACCCCTTGGTGCAGCATTGAAATGGAAAATTTTCTTGGCATTATACCTTTCCTATCTGCTCTCTCCACCCACTTTCATCACATTGTGTCTCAGCATTAGCCTGGCTTTTGGGCACATGATGCCCAAAATTAAAATTAAAAGCTTGAGTTTTTAGCAGATTAGTCCAATCAACTTTCCGTTGTGACAAAAACAAAAGCAACTTTCAAATGGGGAGCCGGGTATCACAGCAAGGAATGCACAAGATATCCATGATTTAGTTCAATTAAAATATCCATTTTATTTCTCATTCCCTCTATGTGCTTTTAATCTTTTCAATAAAGATCAATAAAAATCAAATGCTTTCAACTTGCTCAGGCCCACAGTGAGTTAAAACTTGTCTTTTATGAAGGAAGAAGTTTCCAATTTCCTATTTTTTGGAGCTAAGCAGCATTTTCCATGGGCTACTGAATGTCTTCAAAATAACAACCAAAGCTTTGTAAATACAAGCACAGCCTTCCTTTCCCTCTGAAACTCTGAATCTTGGAAAATAAACAGGGATGGACACTTCAAGAGGATGGTTCCTGTTCCAAGACCTGAAGAATTTTACAGAAATCCCTCTTCCTGCTCTTCTGCCTTGGGGCTGTGGCAGAAGGGAGCTGTGGAGCTAGATTCAGGCTCTTGGTACACTGCAAAACCATGGCTTCTGATGATTTGCTCCTCACTGAGGATGCCAGAGGAGTGAAAAAAAGAGTCAGAAAGTTCAGATACAGCATCAAGGAGCAGCCTCCAGCAGCAGCTAAGTGAGTAGTACTAAAAGATAGAGAGCATCATCATTTTCCAGAGAGCTTGACAAAGTTTAAAACAGTAAAATAAAACAGTATTTCCGATACCATGTAGAGTAAATGCAGTGCTCTGTTGTACATCAAATTAGGCAAGGGATACCAACATTTCAACATCTCCCCCTGAAAAAATTGTTTGTACACTGAAAACAAATGAACAACAGGAAAAAAGAAAAGGATATGAAAACATCATAGCTAAAATGTGCCTTTCATCTTCTTGTGTCAGGTTCTGAATTGTTACGGATCCTGCTGCATACTAGTGAAACAGCCATAAGAAATTTTTGGTTTTACTTGAAAACAAACAAAAAAAACCACCCCAAAAACGACAAACAAACAAACAAACAAACAAAACCAAAAAAACCCCAACCCCCCCCTGCAAAATATTTAAGCTAAGTTGAAGGGATAATTTTGTATTTCCAAATACACAGAAAACTCAAATCACTTGCAGTTAATATTACCTTTGCCAAACCAGTGGCATTCATTTAGGCACTGCAGTGTTTTTGCTGAGCTGTGCTGGAATTTTGACTCCTGTAAATCAGGATTTTTGTGCCTGTGCTTATCTGTGCAACAGAAATAACAGGCAGTAGTTTGTACTTAGAAAATACTGACCTAGCTGAGAAGTTTAAGTTTATTATCTTGGAGCTCAAACCTGAGAAGTTAAGGAAAGAGAGGGTTTTCCTGTGCTGCTTTTACTATGGGTGAAGCAAGAGCAGAAATTCAGGTGGACAGATGGAGGTGCATTTCAAAGCACAGCAGTTAAACTCTCCAAAGCTTCCAGAGTCCAACAGTATTTTATTTTCCTGAGGTGCAAGAACCTACTGGACACAGAAGTCCCTGCATGGGTGAACACAAGCATTGACCATCTAGATATAGATAAAAAGGCAATGCAAATTACAGAAGGACATGCTTCAGTAATGGTGTCTTAGACAAGACTCAGTGAAACAGGAAAGTGTGGACAGAAATCTCATGGTTAATTCTAAAGATTTATTTACTCAGTGCATCAAAGATTGACACAGTTCACATACCTCCTAGTTCCTTGGAGACGGGTATTTTCCTAAATATTTATTGGTTTTCAGACACTGAACTTCTGTCTTCAGCTATCATTGTGCAGTTGTGGGTGTTTCCCTCTTCTTAAATCTGTTATCCCAGAGGTGCCAGCACTATCCCTGATGGGCTCAGCCTTGGCCAGTGGCAAGTCCATCCTGGAGCCATCTGGAACTGGCTCTGTTGGACACAGGGGGAGCTTCTAGAAGCTTGTCACTCCTGCTACCACAACTGTGCCCTGCGAACAGAGTGTGCACCCCAAAATGAAAATAACCACAGTGAGAAGTTGTATAGTTTTCTCAAACCCCCTCTGTGTATTTTTCAGGCTTAAATGAAGTTGATTTTAGAATATTACCTGTTCAAGGTAAAGCTAGGAATAGCTTCCCGGCCAGAAGCAAATAGTGCTAAGTGCATTCTATGAATGCAGAGCTGGCCTTTAGGGAAATGCTTGTGTGATGCAAATGTGCAAAGATGGATGGGGTAATAAGAAAAATCCTTTCACACAGGCTCTTCATTTGAGCTTTCTTGTCTACAGAGAGCAGGGGTGCAAAGGTCAGTGGCCTAAACTTAATTGTAGCTTGGAGTATTTTGCTGTGTTACATTTTCTTTCTGTGACTTTCCCAAGTAGATGTTATATGTCAAAATATGAACCCAAACAGGCTTATTTGCTTCAAAGTGTTACATTTTGCTAGACAGCATTTCTTCATAATTTTCAATCTAAACCTGCTCTTGGTCAATGAGAAAGCAGTGAAAGTTGTGCCAGGGCATCCTGCTGTAGAGAGGATTACAAAATATGTCATATAATGTTTATCCAGTCATAGCCGAAATAACACAGTTTAATTCACAGGGCAACTCACAGCACCGCTGTGGGAAAAGTGGTGAAGATGGTAACTAGAAAATTCCTACTGGTTTACTAGGAGAGGGAACATGAAGAGGGGCAATTTACCAGGGCCTGGAGTGACAGGACAAGGGGGAATGGCTTCACACTGACAGAGAGCAAGTTTAGACTGGATATGAGGAAGAAATTGTTCCCTGTGAGGATGGTGAGGCCCTGGCACAGGTTTCCCAGAGCAGCTGTGGCTGCCCCATCCCTGGGAGTGTCCAAGGCCAGGCTGGGGGTCTGGGCAAGGGGTTAGAACTGAATGATATTTAAAGTTAATTCCAACCATTCTATGATTCTGGAGAAAGCGGTTCCAGGTGGTAAAAGCACATCTCCCCACCATCCCCTCAGCCCGTAATTTGAATGAAACAGCACAGGCCAAACGTTGCTTTAGCCTTTTGCTCTTTGGATAATATTACCAGCTCTCCCAGGCTTGAGAGTAAGGAGCTTAGCTCTGCAGCATTATTGTGACTAATCTCATCAGAGACTGCTGTAGCAGCCAGGCTCCCCTGAGACAGAAAATGGGGAGGATCTCAGAATAAGGGAAGGGCAGATGGGGAAGCCCCGCATAAATCATAAAGAATATGAAATAAACATTCAAGAGCTCAATGAAAATCCCAGATTAAAAAAAAACAACCAACCAAACAAAAAACCCATGTCTAGTCTCAGGCTGCCTTGCATCTAAAAATATCGAAATCCCATTTCTCTTCTTTCATAGGCTGAGGGAATGTAGATCTGTATCAGAAGAATTTAATGTGGACATGAACCTATATGGGACATTTCCTGCTGGACTTCCCATAAGTTTAAAATCTATTTTACAGTTCAGAAGTGCTACATTAGTAGTGGCAAATTCACCAAATAATCTGATTCCATCGTCCTGAAAATTAGTTTATCCTTGACCTCAAGGCAGCACAGTTACTTTAAGAAAAGATTAATTAAAACAAGACTTTCTTTTTATTTTCTTTCTCTCAGAAAAAAAAAAAAAAAGAAAAAAAGAAAAAAAGAAAAAAAACCACCTGGCTGGAAATAGTAGAATGATTAGAGAGGATGTCTGGCTTAGACTGTGGGGAAGACCCAAAAAGCTAGGACATTTCAGGTTTTCCTGTGGCTTCCAAAAGAGACCAAGAAAGAAACTTGTACAATAGAAAGGACCAAAAGGATAGATTCAGCTCAGTGGGATAGATGGGAAGAGATCCTGGGCAGGGTTATGAACTTCCAAGAGAGAAAAATGTATTGCTGGGAATCTGCTTTAACTGTTCTGTGGCCATAATCTTCCAGAGTCATGTAAAATGTGCTCTCTTCAGTGATTTTGATTTGTATGCTAGGAACTCACCTGTTAAGGTAGCATTTTCTTAGGAAAAAAAAATAAAAAAAGACAATCTCATGGAAAACTTGGGTTTCTGGAAGTATGTAGGCACTGGAAAATGATAGTCATGAAGACTGAACAAAATCATATCATGATCTCAATCCACAGATTAACCTTTTCAGATCTGTTGCAAGGCATGTCAGAAGAACAGGGAGAGCTGTCTGTGAAAACATCAAATTGCCTGAAAGAATACATATTTATCCACTTATATCTTGCTATCCATCCATTCATTGATCTTGAGCACACCCTAACAAAACATGCTTCAGCTTCCTTTCTTTCCCCCTCACACATCAATCCAGGCAGTTACTGGACATGATAATTGAGAGTAAGCTCTTAAATCCCAATAAATACTACCAAGCTGGCTACTCAGAGGCTTCCATGCCATCGACATTTTAACACAGTAATGATGTATTGCATCTGAGTACTTTTAGAAGTTTACCCCTTGATTAGACTTAGAGAGAGGGAGGAAATACTGTCAGAAATGGGAAGGAGATATTTCAGCCTGGAAAGAGGTTATGTTTTCAAATTTTTACTTTCAGAACAGTGGCAGAATAATAAACATGTAAGGGTTCCTGGTTTTAGGCTCTAGTGTTCTTTCAGTGACAGAGAATGATGCCTCTGCTGCTGTGAAGGCTCTGGAACACCCAGTGCTGTGGAAACTTGGTTTGTCACTGGCTAACCCATGTCCTGCAACATGAGCTCAATTTCTTAGGCTGTACTTGCAAAGGGGCCAAAATCTTGGCTTGCTACTCATGGTTGTGCCCAAATTCCAGCATCACCACTGGAAATGCCCAAGGTTTTCACTACCAAGAACAAAATCAGAACCAGGGTGGGGGGCAGTGGAAACAAACCCAGGGATGTAGCACCTCCCACCTTCCACCTGCATGTTGGCCAGGCATTGCCTCAGAGTTATATCAGTCCTATCTGCCCCCTCTCTCCATCCTACCTGGGCCAGGAAAATTGAGCAGCTCCCTGCACAGGTCACCGTAAAGTTTAGGAAACAAAAAATAGTTCCTCTTCTGGCCTAAACTCACTGAGCTCAAACACCTCCTCTAGGGGAATTGCCTTCTGAATCTCGAATTCCTCATGATTCAGAACTTACTCAGAGCCATTTTTTCCAGCACATCTCACAAAAGGTACCATTTAGTGTTGCTGCTTCAAGATATTTCTATTCTGCAGCAGCAGCAGAGTAGGACCAGGATGAGGAGGGAAACACACAAGAAAAGTGCACATTTGGCATTCCAAATGGCTGAAAGGTGCGGAAGGGATCCTGGCACATGGTGAGTCAAGAAAAAAGAAAGGCAATAGTCAAGAAAAAAGCCTGGGAAGGGTTGATACAACTGCAGGTGAGAGGAGTATGCTCTGTGTGGAGAAGGGTTGCAGGGGACCAGCAGCATTGCAGGGGCTACGAAATCTCTAGAGGACTGTGGGTGAGTAGAATGAAGCAAGGTTCATCAGATCCTTCTCCTGAATCCAGTAAGTGAATCTGGATGTCAACAAATACATCAGAACCAGGTGATTCACTCCATTTTGGTTGCTGTAAGTGCTGTGAAGTTCTGTATACAGCAAACAGTGATTCACAAAGGATGAGTAAGGCCCAGCAGTTTGTGGCAAGAGCAGTGGAAACCTGCCAAGGCCATGGCAGCCCATGTGTTCTGTGTGTCACAGGATGGAGTTATAATAAAGCCTCGATCTTGGCCTCATTATTGAGCGGTGCAAGGATGGTCTGGGAACCCAGTCCCTCTGGGAGACAGTGCCCAAAAGCTCAGCTAGCTCATGGCCATCGCCGCAGGCTACCCCTTAGCCAGCTTGGTGATTGTCAGATCCTTAGTGACATCAGCTCTCTTAGGATATCAGCTCTTTGCTTGCTATGGTAGGGTGCCCTTGGCTGAGGCTGCAGCAGACACGAGAGGGGAGAAGGAGCACCCTGGCGTTCCACAGCGATGGTTTATTGGGGGAGAGACCTTGAAGGTTCCAGCAACAGCTCTTCTTCTCTCAAATGGGCTAAAACAGGCCCTTTTTATAGGGTTTAGGGGGATCCAAACTTGTCCAATAGTACGGGTTAGGGAGAATGACCTGTTAGGTTACAAGGATAAGCTTTGGGGCGGGAGGTCAAGGACAGGAACTTATTTTGCTGTCTCATCATGACTCAGCAGTTCCTACTATTCAATTCTCCATGGAGCTTTCCCAAGCTCCATGGGGTTTGCTACATGGAGTGACATGCCAATCCCTTTTCCTCCTTATTTTCCATTGAATTTTGTCCAGACTCCTGGCCAGAATGAAGGCCCATTGGATGCCCAGGTCATTTTGTACCAAGACACAGCTTCTGGTTCTGGGCAGAATCACTTTTGAAGGGCAAAAATAAAAAATATCATCAGTACTGTAGCCCTTGGTAGTTATTGAGGCTCTGGTTCTGTGTGACATTGAGGAGGGCACAACAAGACTTAAGCCAACAACCACTGTTCTTGACTAGGAACAGCAAATGTATATGAGAGGGGTCAAATGAAAGAGGCCAAAGATACGTCAGCTGAAGAGGAAATCAGTTGAAAGGGGCAGTCGTAGTTTCCTCGGAAAACTGCAATTCAAAGGCTTGATCAGTGAGGATATAAAAAGGTAGATTTTGATATTGAGGCTATTTAATATTCCTGCCGACTCATTTATAAAAAGAATGTTTATGTTTCTACTGCTTTGAAATGTTTTATACCTTCCAGCTCATGTTTATTTGTTGCTTGGTATCCCTACTCACTTCCACTGACACTGGATACACACAGAAAAATAGCTATCTTTATGAATTCCAGCTTCTCCCTCTGTGGAAAACTCCTAGAGCAGGACATGGCAGCTGTTTAGTGGCACACAACACCCCTGTGCACCACTTCAGGGTATGAAGGAGTGCAGATCCCCATATCCCATTGCCATTGCAAGATGAAAGTGTTGATGTTTAGGCTATAATTTACCACGCTGAATTTGAGCAGTAAGCTAAGGTTAATAGTCCTACAACACTTGAGAAAAGTGTAATTGATCTCTTAGAGAGCATGAGTGTATAGGAGATGGGTTTGTGTCACTGGGAAGGTAGTGCTATCAACACCACAGTGAACACTAACAGTGTTCACATGTTAGTGAACCCTTCACCCAGCCCAGTGAAATGGATGTGCTTCATCTCCCACATTTGCCAGCACCTTATAAAAATGGATCTAGGCTGTTCCATTGCCTTTTGTGTTGTTCACAATCAGAGGAGCTGCTCAAACAGGGATTCATACGTCTCCAAATAATCAATTTCCTGCTCCTCCCAAAGTCAGGTAATGCTGCTGTCCCCATTTCATTACACCTGAGGCAGAGTTGCACTAAATTGCCTCAAACACAGGAACTGCGTGGTGCTGCATCCAAGGTGATGAAGCCTGAACCACTGAGGAAATGGCAAACTGAGATCAAAGAGTGACAGAATCATAGAATAGTTTGGGTTGGAAAGGGATCTTAAAGATCATCCAGTTCCATCCCCCAGCCATGGGCAGGGACACCTTCCACTACTCCAGGTTGCTCTAAGCCCCAACCAACCTGGCCTTGGACACTTCCAGGGGGCAGCGACAGCTGCTCTGGGAAACCTGTGCCAGGGCCTCTCCATCCTCACAGGAAAGAATTTCTTCCTGATGTCCAATCTAAACCTGCTCTCTGTCAGTGTGAAGCCATTCCCCCTTGTTCTGTCACTCCAGGCCCTTCTCAAGAGTATCCATCTTTTTTGGAGGTTCCCTTCAGGCACTGCAAGGCCACAGTGAGGTCACCCCAAAGCCTTCTCTTCTCCAGGCTGAACAATCCCAATTCCCTCAGCCTTTCCTCCCAGCAGAGCTGCTCCATCTCTCTGATCCCCTTGGTGTCCCTGCTCTGGCCTGGCTCCAGCAGCTCCCTGTCCTTGCTGTGCTGGGCCCAGGGCTGGATGCAGCCCTGCAGGTGGGGTCTCTGTTAATGTGGACTTACAGACTTGCTCTAGTCCCACGATGGGATTCCAGCATGGGAGAATCCCCCTCTGCAAGTGAGGGAAAGAACAATAAAAATTTTTGTCTGATCAGATTCACAAGAGTTACCTTCCAGAAAAAATTTCTGGGTAAGAACTTTTCAACTGCAAACCTTTCCTTCCCAGCAAAACCAAACATAACAAAATTAAGTCAATTAAAAAAACCCCAAAAGTTTATGGAAGGACGGAAGTCTTTTTTTCTTTTTAATTTCCATTTACGGATTGATTTTAATTCCTTACCTTGTCTATCCCATCATACAAACTGAGTAAAACAATGAATGATCTTTCTAATTGCATACTCTTTGTTAATGCAGATGTGAACCTAAACTTTCTTCTCAAGAATTGGTTGTATTTCTACGTGAGCTTTTCACAGTAGAACAGAAATAGATCTTATCTGACTCCAAAGGGATTGTTAGCAATGAGCAGATTAGAAGGAAAACAGATGCTGGGGCAGAAGAGATGTAGTTCTGCTCGTATTTTTAATCAGATCTAGATGTCCCCAAGTTAAGAAACACTGCAGCCAGGGTGGACCTACCCAGGGCTGAGTATGAGTTTAAACTGCTTCTGCAGAGAGGTGTCACATCCAACAGGCAGAAGCTTTGAGCCATGCAAGTGCACAGAAGATACAATCCTGTTAAGGACAGTCTTTCCTCAACATCTTTCATCCTGCTGTCCTTGGATTTTGAGAAACTTTTGAAAAGGATGTATCTTTCAGCAGGCAAAACCCTTGTTTCTCTGATGTCACACGCATCCCTGAATACCTTTATTAGAAAGGTGAATAAGTTACATTCTTCAGTTTTCTAAGAACAGAAATGTAATTTTGTGGCTAAACGAAGGCAGCTGGATCACAGCCACTGTCTGCCTATGCTGTTAGAAATTCCTCTGAAGTCCCCAGTGTAATGCAGAGTGGTTCGCAATGTGCAGAATGCACACAAAAGCTCTCACTCAGAGCCCAGTGAGTGGCAGTTGAGAAGGGTTTTGGCCCCCTCATATTTGTCTCCTCCTTCCCTCTGCTGAGCTAAAGCACCAGGCATTAAGATGCTGAGCCAAAATGTAGCATTTCCTGCAGAGCTCTGGTTTAGAGGCATTTGAAATATGACAATGGAGACTAAAATGCATGTTTTCTTGATGGCAAAGAGAGGAGGAGGAAAAAAATTATTTTTAGGGACACAATGTTGCCTGGGTCATCCAGTCAGCAGCAGAAACTTGTTAACAGGACAATGAACATGGAATATACCAATATTTGGTTATCCCTGAATATTTGTGAATGGTGTTTTCACTTTAAATCCTTAAAGAAAGCTCATGACCTTGCAGTAGTACATCCCTATGGCAGATAATCCTGTCCACTAATTCTTGCATTAAATTTGCATCTTGCCTTGAGAACAACTCACATTAAATGGCAGGACAGGGACTAGAAAGGTGCAGGTTAGTATTTTGCCAATTTAGCAATAGTTGAACATAAGTTTAATCCTGGGTATGCCAGCCCATATAATTCTGGGCTGGGAAATGTATGTTTTCCCATTGTTTTCCCACCAGCACTTGAAACTTTACTAAGGCAGCATTCGCTTTTTTAACAGTTCATTTCTCTGCTACAAATATCTTTAAAAACAGGCAGGTAAGCCATGTAAACCCACAGACGGACACCTCTAATCTTCATAAAAATGAGCAGAAGCCCCTTGTTTTCCATCACTGCTGCATCCATAGCAAGTGTGTTTCTGAACAGGCCAGGACAAGGGTACACACTGCCCATGTTTCCAGCATTAGTGTGCACCTTTCCTTCACCAGGCCATTGGAAAGAGGAAAGGTCAATTGCCATCTTCTCTGGATGACAGCTGCAATTCTGAACTTTCACACCCGGAGCTGAGAGCTTGATTTTGAGGAGAACCACAATAATGAATGAGGCAAACACTGCAATGATGAAAAGGGAAGTTGTGGCCAGCACAAAATACTTTGTCCAATCTGATGTGACACGAGACACCTATTGTCCTTATGGCACTTCAGTTGTTGCCTGATTTAATTTCAGTTTGAAAAAACTTTTTGAGGTGACACCTCAGGGCAGGGTGTTTCCAGGATACTTAACTTTGCTATTATGTCAGTTAACATTAAGACAGGCAAAAAATAGCTTTTAAAATGAAAATGTAAGTCTTATCCAGCAAAGCAAGCACCTGTACAGGCTTGGCTTCTTTCTTGATATATATTTAGTCAAATGCACTGAGCCTGCAAGGGATCAAAACTAAAATATCTGTAGTACGGCTTTCTGCACACCCTCTCCCATCCCCCAAATCCCAGCAGCTCACAGATATACAAAATCAGCCTAAAATCTGAGCAGCAGGGTCTCCACTAGAATATACTTGCCTAGCTCAGCAGCTGGACTTTTATTTAACACGAACCAATAACCAAAACCTGGAGAAAGCTGCCACAATGCACTCTGTGCTCAGCTAGCCCCAGCAGTGCTCTCAGATGGCCGCAGTTCCTAGTATTTAATCATGCCAAAACTCACTTAGGCCTTGAAATCAGACAAGATCAAGCTTATGAAGTGTGGGAAGCTCCTCCAGCATTCACTCAGTGGCAATTTACTGTAACTCCAGTAATGAGTTCCTCCCATGAGGCACTTGCATATCTGAAGCACTATTTCCTGAGGCTGTCATGTCATTAATTTCCAGTGTTTATAGGCCAGTGGAGCTCCTGGATTTGCTCTGTGTGAAGGCTGGGAAATTCTAATGCATCTGCTGCTGTGCAGAGCACGGGTATCAAGCCCCCAGCACAACCTCATCAGAGGAAAGGGTTCAAAACAGAGGACACCCCTAGAACTGGGAATACAAGTATGGTGAACATGTTTGCTTTGAAATTATCCTTTAAGTCCAAAGCTAAACACTTGCTTATCAAAACTGGGTTTTTAACTTGGGTTTTTAAACCCCCTCTAAGACAAATCAGATGGAGGAATTTTTCTTATATTCCCCCTACCTGAGTTCAAAATTTTCATTGTGAACCATTTCAATCTGAGTAACTCTGAAAGAAACACTGTTATTATTGTTGCTGTAATGAAACATTTTGTTCCAGATTGGAGAAATCTCCCTCTTTTTTCTTCCCTTTTTTTTTTTTTTTTTTTTTTCATTTAAAGTAAGTTTTTTGGCCTGAGTAGATTTTTTCTTTTATCTACAAAAATTTTTAATCAACTAGGTAAACAAAGAATGTAGTACTCCATCACCTCTTCTATGAGGAACTACAAAGGGATTTTAAGGAATCAGCAGTGTGGCTGTACAACTATGGATTCTGACCAGAGGAGGGAAGATGCTGAAGGCAAGGCAGAAGATTAAACAGTAGAGTAAGCAGCATGTCAGGAAATGCAGAGAAAAGTGTCATTTATTTTCATACAGAAACTTTTTCGCTTGACAGAACTGAAGAACCCCATTTTATAGGAGATAACCATAGGAATTGTAAACTTAAAGTAATTCCATCTAAATTTTAAATCAGCAAAAACAGTATTTCCATTTAGGGGTGTGTGTCTGGTAGAGGGAGGGCACCCTTGGGGGTGGCCCTGCCTTGGCAGGAGGGTTGGACTAGATGATCTCCACAGGCCCCTGCCAACCCAAACAGTTCTGTGATTCTGTGACCATAAGTCATGCTATAGGATTCAGATCACAGCAGGAATTTATAACCAGAAAATTCCTCAAGAAGTCTAAGACATCCTCAGGGAGCATGTGATGATGTAACTGCTGTTTGATAGCTTTCTTATTGTTCTCCCCTGTATTCCCCTCTTTGTGAATCACTTTTTTAGTTCTTGAAAGTAATATTTTTTATTTTAGAGTTATCTTTGAATTAATTACATTTTTTTTCTCTCACAAAAAAAAAGCGATTTATATGTACATCTCCTCTAAGGCAGTTTTGACTTGACTTTTACACTTCCATAAAGTTAAGGAAGCAGATCATTTATTGGTTTATTCCTAACATTGCTGTAAGGTAGTGAACTTTAAATATGTTTGTTTGTGGTAGAAACCAGGCTGTCCATACGAGTCCCTGCCTAAACATCCCACAGTCCAAGAAGGTACAGAAGATGTTTTATGGGAAAAAGAGATATGGATTGATCACGCACAACATGGGATACACACCTGAAAGCTGGACATATCGCCTTGTCTCTGTCTTGATAGCAACACCACACACTTTTACCACAGTGGTAAAACTGGGATTTGATCCTGGCTTCTTTACACACATGGAAAAAGAAACTCCAATGCCAGGATCCTGCAGCTCTTTTAAAATAACTGTCCAAATTAAAAAAAAATAATTATAAAATAGGCAGTCTTGTCTGGGAACAAACTGGAAAAACACAAATGATTGTGGAACAGAATTTTTAAAAAAATTATTTTCCTTGTACCTGCAGCTCTCCTCTCAGCCTCTGCAGTCCTCTGAGCCTTAGTGTGCTTTTTAGGGAGATTGAACAATGGACAACTTCCCGTTGTACCTTTTGCCATCTTCCCCAGGCACTGTGCCAGACAAATGAAAGTCATTAGCCTCCTTTCCAGTCATGCTCACTTGGAGGCTGAGTTCAACCACCCACCTACTCCCCAGTCCTTGTCAGCTGGTGATTTTTCACCTCCTCTCTCATCATCCTGCCATTCCCAATATCCCATTAAACTCTGCCTGTGTGTCTGCTGCTTTGCCTTCGCCCAAGAAAGCTCAGCACTGCAAGCCCTGATAAGTGAATTCAACCTTCAGCACAAATATCACATCTCACATGACTCAGGCACACAATTAAGCTTTGCAAGATAAGGGACTAATTAATTTAATTGCCAAACAGAAAGAGGGAACTCCTACTCAGGTTTGCCTGAAATCATGTTGTTAATTAATAATTTATTTATTTGCCATTTTACTTTGAAACCAGAAGGTAATGGAAATGTGAACAATAGCTCCCTGTTCCTCCCTTTAAGTTTTGATTTTCCAGGTCAAATGGAAGCCTCTCTTTTAGTACATGTGGGAGGAAACAAAAAAAAAAAGACTTTCTGATGTTTCAGATAGAATTTTAAAGGCTCTACTTTTACTTTAATCAAGAAGGAGTGGGACTAAACAACAATTAATACATTATCCTCTATCATGAGACCTTTGTACTAAACATGGTAGTGATAACAAATTCACTATTTGTTCTGTGGAAAAATGTCCTGAAATTGGCTGGACTTGGCTAACTTCACTGGAGACATGTTTACTAGTGACTGGCGCAGGATTCTGATAGCCAGGGGGGATTTAGAACATACCTGATTTTAAGTGGAACAGTTCAGTAAATATATGTAATATCTGCTCAAATGGTGAAGGTTAAAAAATATGCATTTGAATAAACCACAAATCTAATCTGATTCTCAGAAGAAATGGTTCTAATTTTTTTCTCCAATTTCACCCAGGAATTTATTCAGGCTTTTTGCGAAATTTGTGTGTTGGTATAAATGCTCATATTTTTCCCTGTGAAATGGCCTGAATTGCCCAGAAGTTCTCCAAAAGTAAGTGGAAGCAAAAATTTAATTATTTCTTCAGAATACATTTTTCCCAGCTTTACTTTAAGTCCATTTTCTTGACACTGAAGATAATTTTTAATGTACAACTATCTTTTTTATAATGAAATTCAGGGTAGAAATGGTCCAGCACTCTTTCATTACTTGTGTCCTGGAGCAGTGAAAAACCACACTAATAACATATTTGCTGTCTATCTAGTAACAGTTTCTGCAGCATCTTCTGGGATGCTGACACCCAGAGCAACAGGAAAACAGTCAACTGAGCCAATCATTCCAACTCTGTAGATTCATTGCAGTCTCACCAGCTATTTTCTTATCCAACATAAAATGCATGAGCAAATATTCCTATCCTCAAGACCCCTCTGAGGAATTTTAAAGCTTTCCAACAATGATTACAGAATCACAAATGGTTAAAGATCAGTTCCAGTTCCACTATCCCCTGCCATGGGTAGGGACACCTTTCACCAGCCCAGGTTGTTTGGAGCTTCATCCATCCTGGAACACTTCCAGAGGCAGCCACAGCTGCTCTGGCCAACCTGTGCCAGGGCCTTACCACAATCACAGGGAACAATTTCTTCCCAATATCCAATCCGAACCTGCTCTCTGTCAGTGTGAAGCCATTGCCCCTTGTCCTGTCAGGAGACACAGGATTGTAGATTTCTCTCCGTCCCTTCAGGCACTGCAAGGGCACAATGAGGTCACCCCAAAGCCTTCTCTTCTCCAGGCTGCACAATCCCACTCCCTCAGCCTTTCCTCCCAGCAGAGCTGCTCCATCCCTCTGATCCCCTTGGTGTCCCTGCTCTGGCCTGGCTCCAGCAGCTCCCTGTCCTTGCTGTGCTGGGCCCAGGGCTGGATGTGGCCCTGCAGGGGGGCTCAGCAGAGAGGGGCAGAGGGGCAGAATCCCCTCCCTCACAGGGTAGAGAATGGTAGAGAAGAGCAGGCCAGCAGGCAGTGCTCCTCCTCACTGGATTTCCCCAGTAAGGGAATCTGTGGTCTCTCCCTCTCTCGGAAATGCCCAAACGCTGTCCCAGGATGAAAAAGGAGAGACTTGACACACTCCTGGACTCTGTTTCTGTGGGAGATAGAGCAGCAGTCAAGGTTCTGAGGGGCAATTTGGAACAAGGCTCTGTAGCAGGATACAGTGCAGGGATAAGTTAGTCATGAGCACAGATGAAGAGTAACCCTGCATTAGTCACACCACAGATAATAAGAGCTGGAAAATGATGACATGTGTGCCTCATGTTAAACCCACTTATGCTTAATTCTTTGTGCTGAATATAAATTGTTCTAAAGAACAACGCATTCCTCAACAGAACAATTCTTCACATCATGCCACTAACATCTCTGTCATCTTGATTTAGGCCATTTAAATGTCAGTAAGACAAGTTAACACTGCCTAAGGGCAACTCTGTCCCATGCACCAGAAATCTTTTTCTATCATATTCTGTTTTCCTGCAGTGCCTCATGAAAAGATGCAACTTTCGCACGCAGGGGTGGATTTGTAGTGGGGTTACAGGGGAGTAGGATAGTGAATCCCCTTTCTACTCCCATACTCCTCTCCAGTGCAGTATGAAATATAAAGAATTAAGATCACCACCCTGGCCATGCTGTAGCCAGCCTGCCATGTGGAAATGCCTTCCCTCCACTCATTCCAGCCCTAAATGCCTTGATTCTTCAAAGGTGTGTTGCTACATCCCAAAAACACCCCAAATGAAAAGCCATGGTTGATTAGGGAGCCCAAGTCAAGTTTTCCATATGAATTCAAGGAGCCCATGTGCCTTGCAACCTCTTTGAATGCCAAAAGATCCACAATTTCTACCATCAGACAGGATTATTAGACATTAAAAACACAGAAAACATCATAAGCCACAGAATCACAGAACCAATTAGGTGGGAAAGACTTCCAAGGTCATTGAGTCCAACCTTTATCTAGCGCAACCTTTTACCATGCTGTTCAGAGAGAAACTGGATTTTGAAGGGCAGAACCTTCCAGAAGGAAAGGGGAATTACTGTGTTGCTTTCTGAGGATGCAAGTTCAACATAAAAAGCTATAACGAATTTTTCTTTTGGCAAAAGTGGGTGTAGAGCCTGACAGCATTAAAACCTCTGAGGTGAAATTTGAAAATGTTAGCAGATTATTAGTAGTGTATAAAAAAAAAAAAAGTGCAGAAAGCTGTAGTGCTGAATTAATGAAGTGCTGCCCTCTCAACCCTTTGCAGCCTGTTTGAAGAGAGTCTCTGAAGCTTCTGCCACAAGGTCCCCCCCCAACCTGAAGCCATGGGGTTGTATGGTGCAGATCACACTCAACCAGGTGCTTCCTGCCTACTGAGGTTCCAGGTTTGTCCCATCTGCAGGAGAATTTCAGAACAGGGGCTCAAAGGCACCTTTGAGTTAAAACAAACAACCTCTGGGTCCTGTACCTATTCCTGCAGCTTTCTCTAAAGGTAATGTGTAGCCTGACACTCACAGGAATTGTATTTTACCCACCCTCCTGGAGACTGAACTTCTGAAACACTGTCACAGCATTTCTTCCTAATGACTTTGTGTATTTGTTCTGGAAGAACAGCAACAACTTTGGGGTAGGGAGGAGAAGAGAAAAATGTTCTCTGAAGATGCTGTTTCTGGAGGTTACTTTTGGTAAGCCGGGAGTCTGCTGCCACTAAAATCAGCAAGAAAGTTATCACTGGCACCAGGGGAACAAGAGGGGCACGTGCAGCATTCAGTTTTACATTCAGAGGCTGGGTTAGGAAGTCTTTTGTTCTTGCCTCTGGTTTGCATGTCTTGTTTACACAGGGCAGTTAATGCCAATAAAAGGACTAACCACCACTAACAAGCAGCTGTAACAGATGACCCATTGAGTATGGGACGGATTGTGTTACAGCAGGGAAGGGGGGATTTGTAGCTCTGTGTTATACTAGGATGCTGCTTTCCCACACGAGGAGGATATTCTCCAGTGGTTAAATCGAAGCAGGGATCTAATATATTTGTACTGAATCACTCCTCCTGTACCCACCCCTGCACCCTCTCCCTGGGAACAAGGCAGCCTGAAGGTATTCATCTCCTAGCACCAATGCTTGCCTGGTGAATATGCCAAGCACCTTAGCATCCTTAGGTTTCAAAGGCATTTCCCTGCAGCAGGGAACTGATAGAACTCCTGTCTCTTAGGATTTTTACACTGTCTTGGAAATAAAAGTGCTGTAACTGACACAGTAGTGTCTACCCCATCCCTGCAACCCTCCTGCCCCACATGCTTCAATGTTACTGTCTTTCCTTTGCGCACCATGGATTTCCCTTTGAGGTCTTTCTCTGAGTCCCAGGCTCTTCATTTAACCATACAAAGAGAGGCTCTGCATGCTCCCTCTCTTATCTACTCCCGTCTCTCTTAATCTGTTCTCAACCTCAGCCCTTCCCCTCCATTTCACAGTGTTTTTTACCCAAATTCACTTTCCTTCACACCCCATTTTGCTGCAGACCCTCCTTCTCTGTCCCCTGGCTCCCCCTTTCTGTTTCCATCAGATTGGCTTGCACTCTCAGCATCCTTCCTTCCTCCTTTTCAGAGTTACACTTGGTATGCCCTGTACCCCCTTTGCCATGACCTTTAAGCTTTCCCACACCAATATCTGGTATCCAACAGGTGCCCCCCTGCCATCTCTGGGCATGTCAAACATCATGCTGTGCAAAGCATCCCTGTGAGGGCTTTGAATCTCCAAGCAGGAAACCCAAGGCAGTGCTGTATT